AACTAAAGATGATAAAAACATCACGCGCCCATAATTTGGTACTAAACTCCAGTAAATTTCATACAAAAAGAGTCTTTTCCGTTTGTTTTTACGCAAAAACAGGCTTTCAAAAATCTCAAGGTGACCACAGTACAGACAAATGATAAAGAGTGGCGCTGTTGTCGCATTTAGCTCGGTTTCGGTGGACGCCAGCGGCCCAGGTTTCGGCGGCGAGTTTCCCAACTGAGTGTTTTAGTAACGTTGGGGACAGGCGGCCAGGACAGAGAAAAATCGGGACTCCCTCCCGCGTGGCTCCGGCCCAAAGTCTGTCTTCAGTGGGCACAGTGCCGGGGTAACGCCGACTAAGTTCGACCAGAGGAAAATTGGTAACCCCCTCCTCACACCCCCCCCCCCCCCCCCCCCGGGGGGGGGGGGGGGGGGGAGAGTCGGCGAAGGAAAGAAATCATACTTTTAGTTCTTAATATTTAGGCTAGGTGGCGCAAGCTACCGCCCGATATAAAGGGTACAGCCGTAAGCATCCATTCATGGACACAAAGTGCGTGATTGGATGAGAGTCCTTGCCGAGCGTGGAACGGTGACGCGGCGCTCGTTTTCAATACGAACTGAGCCGAGTCAACGCCGAACGCTAACGCACACCTCGCGTCCAATACACGCTCAGAGTACGCGATCGATCGAGCAATGGCGGACAGGCGTTGCTTTAATGGTCACCGACAACTCGAGATACGCAGCGGCGCGACGAGTCCCGAGCATCTCATTACCGTTCGCCAGCCAATCAGACGACGGCATCGGCCGATAAAAATCCCGAAGGACCAATCACGAAAAGAGATGAGTGCTCATAACATACCAGGCCACGCCCTACGTTTCTTAGACTGTCGGTGACTATAGTAGGAAAAGCTACTCCGTCAAATTTAGCAGGAATGTAGTGTCGTGTGACGTCATGGTGCCACGTGACGTCATATAAACAGTGGCTACTAAGCTGCCGGTAAATACTGTTTGCTACATGTGCATGGCGTCTCTGGGCTGCTACAACAGATATTGTAAGGTGTTCTAAGTTGGCCCCCTCTAGGTAGCCAGCGGCGGCAGTGAGCGCCTCGCAGTAAACGTGGCGGACGAGCACTTATCTGGTTCCTTGGGGCGGAGCAGACGAAACAGTGAACATTGGCTATCGCCGTGGTTCATTCGCAAAAAAATATCGAGAAAACGGGAGTATTTTTGTCTTAGTATGAAGCAGGAAAACCCGGCCATCGCTCGTTGCGCTAACTTCGTCGCGCTGTGCGCTTACCCCTCCATTCCCCTTCCCACGGTTCACCGTCGCATGACTCCGTGTATCGACTAGCGTGCGGAAGGGATACTTCTCGTGTCACGCACGCTGGTCGCGTGCCGGTCGACGTTAGATCGGGCTCACCACCGAAGCAGCAGTAGTCAAACACCGGCGGGACGATCGATGCTCGGACACAGAATGATGGGATCACCACAAGTACTGGCGTACCGCACGGCACACCAAAAATTAAAGCAACCTGCACTCTTTTTTTTTTTTTTTCTTTTTTAATGATGGAAAGGTAGTAACTACGCCTACTTTACACTCCAGCTGTCAATCTACACTCCACCTGTCAATGTGAAACGAAGGGGGGGGGGGGGGGGGGGCATCGGTGAAGCAGGTGGAGCATGGAGCGGCTCGGAGCAGGTGGAGCGGAACCTTTGCCTGTCTCGATGTGGATGAGCATCGCACCGGCGTGCGGTAGGCTAGCGGTGATACTACAGCGGCTAAATGTCTCGCCTACGGGGGAGACACGCACCCTTTGGGGCCGATTATTACTGCCTCGCTGTCTAAACATTCACATCACGGTTAGTCATGTGCATGAAATCGCTGTGAAGCACGTTTTGGATTTGTGGTTTTATGTTATTACTTTGATCGCTAGACCTGTACAAAATATACGAGCGTATCCATGCTCGAACTGTATGCAGCGCTATAGTTATACTGATGGAAATTCGCACTGTACAGGCGTGTTTGTTTAGACAGTGGGAACTCAGTCAGCCCCAGTGGGCGTCTTGTGTCACCTCTGTATAGATGAGACATTGTGTCAGTGCAGCACCACTGCGAACCTGGTGTCTTTAACGTGCATTACGCAGTAGTGATATATGACCGCGCGCCGGTACGGTATGCTCATCCAGATCGAAACGGGGCAGGGGTGGGGATCGAACCCAGGATCCCTGGGTTTTGCAGTGGCTCGCAAAGTCACTTTAAGACTGTTAGGTCCGAAGCCACAGAGGTTGGCAGAGCTTCGAGATTGGCGCAAATCGACAAGAGGTTGTGGTGCCACTTATTCTTGGCCATACTTCAGTGCTGCTGTGGGGCAAAAGTTGCGACGTTGCTACTGTCATTTCGGTAGCATAAAACGTTAAAGGAATACTACAACGAAATTTCGGCGCTTATTTTTTCGTCTATATGTGTTCAAAGGTGCTGTATCCCATCAGACACACCAATATCATGTTAACAAAGACCCGAAAAGGAATTTTAAAACGAATTAAACGACTAACAAAGAGCACCTGGTGGTTGTCGCTAACGCCTCGTTTGTAATGCCCGTCTAGGAACCTTGGCATATAGTGACGACATTTGTCTCGCCTCCGGCCACGACGAGAGAAGAGGAGAAGGAAGAACTCCCCTCTTCCCGAGAATCCCTTTTGTTTGTCCCAGAAGCTGCTATTGTCCCCCAGAAAGATTATAGAAGATTAACCCGTCACTCAAAATTCGTACAAAAGCAGCCGCTTCGGTGGCTGGGACGACTAGGCCATCCTCTCGACGTCAGCCTCGCCGTAGCTTTGCTCGTCCCCAGACGAACTACGTCACGATTGCGTTGGATGTCACGTGGTCTCCGCTGACTGTTCTCCGAGCGCTCGCCAGAGTGGACCGTTTATAACGAAAAATACAGCCACCAGGCTCAAATACAAACGTGCAATTGTCATTTACGGATATTGTGGATCATATTCAACCTATTTCTGAACACGACGGGTATATTTCATATTTCGTTGAAGTATCCCTTTAAACAAATACCCAAAAAAAAAAGTCTAGATTTTTTTTTTTGTGCTCAAGGACAGCTTATCTCGGCGAACAATACAAGGATTTCCAGAAAATAACGACGCTCTATAAAACAATTTAACGAAAACAAATCAATAGACGCAGGGACAGAGTGCACGACGTTTCATTTGTTCATTGTTCCTGGTAACATTGCAATTGTAAGCCCTAATCGTGTGCTGAGCTTCGGCATTAGCTGGCATTATTCTATTGTTCTCCGCGATTGGCTGACTTTGTGATCTGCAGGAAAGTGGCTCGCCGACTATATTAGAGTGTACTACGCATGCATAAAAACAAAAACCGAAAGTAACGGAGCAAGATGCACTTAATTTCACTTCTCAATTTTTTTTTTTTCTTTTTTTGCTTTTGTTTGTGAATAGTAGCAGAAGTCCAAGTATTCTAGACTGAGTGTAAAAATGACTCCTCCGTAGGCTCTCGTATAGAAAAAGAAAATATACGAAATGGAGGACATGCACAGCTGATTTTCGTGTGCCTTCGAAATATCGGCGCTGTCTTTCGTTAGTAACACAACTTCGCTGTTGTCGTTGTTGTTTCTCTCACGTGACGTCGTTTTAGTCGTGTGTTGTAACTGTACTGTGTTGTGTGAAATCTAAAGGTGACAGTAAGTCCTTCTGCTGGTTGCGTGATCTACGAAAGAAAGCCTGAAGAACGCCCCATGCATGCAAGTAATCCGTTTTGTTCTGTTTTGTTTTTTCGTTGTTTTTTTTTTTCCTTTTTTATAATGACGATTTTTTTTTTTTTAGGCGCGCTTGCTACATTCCGGCGAAAGATGTTGGGCGTCTTGCTGGCGCAGGAAAGAAATTCTCATTGCTCTAGCCATGCGTTCCTTCTGCGAACGACAACAAACAAACAGAAAATAGCCCGACGTCAAAAGTTTAACAAAAAAAAAAAAAAAGAAACTGTTGCAACTAGTTTCAACACTTTCGTCCTCTCCGTGCTCTCCCACGCGACTGAGCAACGACGTGCAGCAGGCCAAGAAAAACAAAACAAAACAAAAAATGAAGGGGACACATTAAGCGCAACCAAGTATAGGAACGAAATCTGACACACACACACACGCACAGACAAGCAAAAAATGACAAACCCCAATGCTTAAAGAAAGAGAGAAAAAAAAAAAAAAAGAAAGACGCCAATGCTGGCACTGGGGCGACGCGCTGAATCGAAAGCAATTCCCAAGCACACACCAAAACAGACACTACCGGATGTGTCCCACGCGGGAGCTGTCTTCGTTAGCTTGTGCTCGAATGCGCCGCGAATGCTCCGGAACGTCCTTCCAACGTCCCAGCCGCAACGTTATCAGAACGCTTTGGCTAGACGCAGCTTCAGAATAGAAAAAGTTATTCCCAGTCGATCGTTAACGTTAATAAACTAAAATAATTATGAGCAGTCTTAAATAAAGCCACAACTTTCGAGCAAGCTTGAAGTTGCCGTAATATACCGTAATTTTGATGCAGGTATGCACTGGTCATACAATGCTGATTTTAAATTTCGGCAATTGTGGGAAGTTGTTCAGCTAAAAAAGCAAAATAAATACGGTGCCGGCGCCAGATAAGAGAACATTCGGACAGATTTCTATGATGACACGATCCCGTCTTTTGAATGCGGCAGCCAGTCTCCGCGGTGTAACTTTTCTTTCGTTGTTTAAACAGAAATCTGAGCTAGTTTAAAGTCCACCTAGCTATTGTGCTCACGGCTTTCGCTGCATCCAAAGAAGAGCCGGCTAATTGTAGTCCAAACAACCCAACAACAAAAGATTCACTTGGCTCCAGCTCTTTGGTGACGAGACCTCTCGGCGCAAGGACGTTGCCGAAGATATTTGCTCATTCGCACTGTGCTCACGCCCGATGGAATGATCGCAGCCCGGTGTTCCGTCAAACGCCGATAAATGCGCGATGTTGGGACTCACCGGCGGCGGACCGGAGCACGGTGTTCGGCGACGGACGGCCGAGCTTCGGACTGGACTGGCGCAGGGCGGGCCAGCGCGGCTTCCCCGTGTGTGGCCAGCCGAATGCAGCTAACGGAGTTCCCGGTTGGGCCGATTGGGGCGCCGCGTCGCTGGCTTCTCTCTCGTACGTCCACCCAAAGAGCAGATTCGTTGGTCTAGCCAACAGTCTCACGCCAGACTGTTTCGCCGCTGTGCTTTTGAGCTCTGGCGTCGTAAATAGGATCTTCGCTACCAAAACCGAGGCACTCTGGGCTCTTCCGACCAATCACCAACCTTCAGTGTGAGGGCAAACGACCGTTTTTTGTCTTCTCTTTTTGCTTGAGCTCGTCACCGTCGTCACTCCAAGCTTTCAAACCGTTCCGCGCGTGTTGAAATCGAAAGTGTAGATTTTACGGAGTACGGAGCTGCGCGTCTGCGCTCAGAAAATGATTAGAGGGATTAGAGACGTCTCTAGTTTGACAGAGATTCTGCCGAGTGGGTTGCGTGCCTCATGACGGCGTATTACGGAGTCTACTGCGCGGCCAAGTGGAGTAACAGTTCTTCAAAAGAACTCGGAGTGCTTATTCTTCCGGTTTCCAACAAACGGCGGGTGAGCCTTTATATCAAACTTTTTTGTCAACGTTCGAAACTGGAAGCATTGAAATATATGATCTCTCAATCTTTCCATTACAGCATCGAAATGGATTGCGTATGCAAAGCGCCAGGACTTTGGAAGCCTGCCGGTGAGCAAGCTGCGTCCGTGTCGTCTGTGCAGCAAGCACGCCGGTGCAACCGCGTTTGTATAATGTAGGAAGATTCGTTCGCGGAAAAACACGTGCCTCACCGTTCTTGTTACGAATCCGTTGCTGCAAGGACTGTTTCCTCCAAGTGAGTTGCTGTCAGAGTCTTCAGTTAATTTGACAGCTTCTAGGATAGAGTACCTAAAAGCGCCCACAATCAGTCACTCCAGAAGATTTTTTTTTCTTCTTCTTTGCGTTGCCAGTTAGCGAGTTTGTTTATGGTTTATTTATCGTTTATTCTTATGGAGCTCGCCTGCAACCCTGCGTTAATTAAATTAAAATGCAAGCCTGCTTTATATCGGAGTTGATTAGTTTGTTTGGGTATTCAGCATTTTTGTTTGTAGGAGTTGTTTATAGACGCATTTAGATAATTCGATTATAAGTGCTGTTCTGTTAGTTTGTACATTAAAGTAGTTGATTTGGTTTTTACATATTTGATAACGTTTACTGCCTACTACAGTTCTTGGTTCCGCTCAAGGGGCGGTGGACTGCCGACGGAGTTTGTAAATACGTGCTTGGAATATTGCAACTAATTTGAATGGTGTTCAATAAAATATACGTTTCAATGAACGTGCTGTTTCTGTTTTATTGTACTGGTAATTAATATCTCGCGAGCGCATTTGTTGCGAAGTGTAGCGCGCGCGGCTCGTCTGCTCGACCGGTGCCGCGCTGGCCGCTTGCAGCGGCCAGCGCGGCACCGGTCGAGCAGACGAGGAAAACAAACCGAAAAAAAAAAAAATAATAAAAAAAAAGGAGCGGGAGGGAGAGAGAGAGAGCAGAGAGGGGGAGGAGGAGGGCCGGAGGGCGCCTGCCGCGCCTGCGCACGCCAACGACATTGGTGGCGCCATCTGGCGGTCTCCCAATATTTGATTTGATTTTATTTTATTCACGATACCAGAGGCACTCCTCCTATAAATACCCGCCCTGTTTTAAAAAAGTTTGGGCCCATTTGACTGACTGACTGATTTACTTTTTTCAGTCTCACGCCGTACTTTCTGCCACTTGCGACTTATGGCGCTAGTTTTTCCTTACCACGGTGGAGGCTACAGCTGCACTCGGCTGGTGTGGCGTCGTCGCCGCTCGCTCGCCGATCTGGGTTTCTTTGGCTGGAGCGGGGCTGCCCGTCTCTCCTTTGGGCCGCTTCCGCGCTCCGCAGGGAAGCCAGCCTGCTGGGAGCGGTGCCCCTATTCGCCGCTTGGTGGCGCCACCGCATTTTTTTTAACCGCTGCATACCCCACTTGCCAGGTGGCGCAAGCTAATGGCCATTTGAATGAAAAGAGGTTGAAACGTAGAACGTATTTATTATTGTTTCGAATTGGACCTATAAAGTCACTTTCTCCTGCGGAATTCATGTTTTCCTCTCAAACTACGATACAATGCCAGTTTGACTGTGTGCAACCTTTTGTTAGCATCAGTTGCAAGGCGGGCTTGATTCTCTCATACTCAGAACTAGCTGTTCCGTTATTTCAGTTACGGAATCAAAGGTTAGAATAGAATCGTTTTGAACACAAAAATTGATGTTTCATTCGAGTCCTAAAAGTTGTAATAAAACTGCCATTCTTGATTCAAATAAAAACAGTTTGTCACATGATTATGATCAAATACATTTTATAGGTAGAACTCCATGGTAACAAACATCAACAAAAATACGATAAATAAGATTCAAACAACAAAAAAATCCAGCAGAACTCGCTAGGGTTATTTCCATGCTTCCATCCACAGTTAAAACATAATTTAGTTTTTAGTTACTAGATTCGCTGTGCCATCAAACAGATGGAACCTATATAAACGATAACTAAACAGAGTTGACATAAAAATAAACATATTGAGCAGTTTATATAAATATTCTCTCAATACTCAAGTGTACTTGCTAATAGCGAGTTCGTTTCACGGCACTCGTGCCCACGCGTGCCCACTCGAAGCGTGGAACGGGTTCGTTTCGGCCGGCACTCCACGAGTGGTTGCACTCTCCGAGTTCGTTTCAGCGCTGACACCCCACGCGTGCATGCACTCGCTGCACCGAGAAAATCGGGAGTGCGCCAAAATGCAATCCCGTCATGCCTCGCTCCGGCGGGGCCGGCGAGGAGCGGGAGCAGACGACGAGGGTTCGTCTGCTACGATGTGTCGCGGAACCGAACGGGAAAAAAAGTAGATTTTCTCATAAAAATCGGGTCCCGCGGGCCACGAAATCAAACGCGAGCTTGAATTGTGAGCGTCTGCTATTTCCCGAAGAAAGCAATTGACAACGCGTGATTTATTTGCAGGTTTTAAATCGCTCTGTTGCAGTACAAACGCTGAAATATACAAGTGTGTAAAGAAATGCTCAAAACAAACGTGACAGCGGGCCCTGAGATGTCTATCACCATCCGTGTGCGGGTGAAAAATTTAACATTTGTCGAAAAAACTCCCCCAGCAGAAACCTCTTTCTACCCAATAAGCATCAGAGAAAGCTAAAGATGGTAACTTTACCCGAGGATTGGGCAACGTCATCATGTTTAACATTTATTTACGTCAGATAACTTGCCCCGTCGTATTTTGTTCGAGAAAGCTCTCGTTCTCGACGCCCTCACCAAGGCTAATATCTGATCCACCTATAATGACGATCCAAATCGAAAGTCCCAGTTTTGCTGAATATTCCAACAGGCTAGTTTTAAGCCGTACCCTTTCAGTGGTTCACGCATAATACCATGCTCAAACGGATCAAGCTTCTGCTCGGACAGCATCATCAGTTTTCTTCAGTGTAAACGGTTATAAGAATAACTAGTGCCACTAAATAAGCTACGCTTCAGAGTAACGACACTTGGCCATATTGTGTCTTAAAATCATGGTTGCCAGTTATCTGAAACATTATCTGAAATCACAGGAAACACCTTTCCGCCCCCCACAAATGTTTAAACAGTTCGTGACAGAGCAAAGAAATATTGCGTGACCTTCCTAACACCGAATCTAATGCTGAGGAAGTCGCACTTTTGAATCATGACGATCGGTAGTTGCGTCTGCTCTGCATACGAGCCAAAATGGCGGCGCCCACAACAATGCCGGGGAACGGAGTGCCGATACTCTAAGCGCAGCTCATTTAATGACTCTAAGAATAACCAGCTGCTTTGTAGACAGCTGGTTGCGGAGATTTACGCCGTCTGTAACTACCTCTACGGCAGCCGAGCTGCTTGAAGTCATCGCAACTATAAACTACAGGTTGCAGCGACCAACGTTCGTAGATAAACGTTGGTAGCGACTGCATTCACGCATTCCCACGCATCACTCCGAACAGAAAGGCGCTAGTTTCGGTTTGAAGTCGGTGCCTTTTCTACAACATAGATGGCGGCAGCATCAGTCTTCTGCACTCGGTGCATTTGGCGAGTTCGTTTGAGTCCAGTTTTCCGTGCAACACTCTGTGAGTGCGATGCATTCTGGGAGAGAACTCAAACGGTGCCAGTGCGTGTGAAACGAACTCGCTATAAATCTCTTACTTGAAAAACAAAATCTCGTCAGAATATTGCTGTCCGTAAATATAAGAACCGCTTTTTTTTTTTTTTTATTGCAAGGATTATTGTTTTACTAGCGCTCACCATTCCCCCCCACCCCCCTGTTGTTTTAGTATTTGATATTTTTGTGTTTACCGCCCCGCTTCGGAAAAGTGCTCTCTTCTCAGCGCAAGTGTACGCTGTGGCAAAGCAAGACGCGCAAAATCGCGATGCCTGCTCCGCGGTTGGCGCTTCACTGCAGTGCACCAGTGCGCGGTGAGAAGAAGGTCACTCAACATAGCTAACTAACCGGTCAAAAATAGATCACGAACAAGCAAAGTAAAGGCTACCGCATCACGAACCTCGAACCTCCACAGTTTCGAACATTTGCACCAGCCTACTGTAACAATCCGCGGTCGCGTATACTGAACACGTTTGCAAGTCCGGCTTCAGGGCGCTGCCATCTTGCGTGTCTGGGGTGCGCTTGGACCAGTCATAATCCGATTACGAAGCCTTGCTAAAACGTCGTAATCGGATTACGGCCGCTCCCGAGAGCGCACCCCACTGAGGAAGATGGCGGCGCCCTGAGACCAGACTTGCAAACGCCAGTTAATAAATTGCAATTATTAAGTTCTGGCGCAATGCTAGCGCAAACTTATCATTATATGTCGGCAAAATGTTACAGGAATGTAGCACCTAGGGTGAGCACTTTGGCACAGTTTGGCGCAAATGGCGCAGCAATCACATTGCTGCAGGTGAACCTACTGTACTTCGCTTCACCTTGCGATGTACCGCAACGGACGGCCACTCCAG